GAGATTCACAGGGGTTGCCCAGACTCGCAATGTCAGGCAATAATCTTTGCTTTATTATTATTAAGCCACATTTAACAGATGCGTAAATTAGCTTAGTATTTATAACTTCTTTCCCATTACACTGTGGAGTTAATGTATAAAACAACAAACTCTTGTCTGGCACTTTAACTTTTACACCTGTGGACGAAAACCTTTAGTGTTGCCATTTAAATGAAACCTTTTTGCCAGAACATCTGCTATAGTACTATTTTTTCTCAGGATGTTTCAACAATTTTTTTAACGTTCTTTGACAATTCTTAGAAATGAAATTGTTGGGGAATTCTTTCTTTCTTGTTAAACAGGGGAGTTGAAGCACATTTCCAAGCTACGACCCTGGTAAGTGCAGTAATACGGTCAAATTAAATCTTTTTATCCATGACGAAACCGGTTTGGAAACTTCGGTTATGAACTTCAACCGGCTTAGAGACAGTGTCAAGTTCGCTCTTCGCGACAATGAAGTAAAAACACTTCTATGTAAGTCGTGTGATGTGTCTCGTTCTTTCCACAAGTCTTGTCAGTAATATGTCAATCATTTTTTTTGTCGCTGTAGGGGCTTATATGACGTTCTACGCGAGAAGTATGAATGGCCTGAGCAGGATGCTATGGAATTTTCAGCATTCTTGCTTCCTATGCTGGACTTTAACACAGAAAAGCGATCGACAGCAGCTCAGTGCCTTGATCATCCCTGGCTTAAAGATGTCGTTTAGTGTCCTTAATCACAATATGACTTTGAGCTGACTGGACAACACAGACCTACTCTCTTATAAAGTCAGCTGGATGTTATAAAGGGCTACTCGTTTTGTCAGCCTCGTTTTCAGAAGATAGAGGAGCCTGGGAACGAGGCAAGAGACTTATTTTTGATTAACATTGGGGTCGTGATGAACGATTGTAAATGTGAATTCCCAGTTAATCTTGAGATATTGCCTGTACAGCGTGGCTAAGAGAACAGTAACCCATTGTTTCGTCTTTACAATCCAAGGATGACTTTGGCCAGTATGAAGTTCAGTGAAGCTATTTTTGTTCAACAATGGCCTTTAAGGTTGTTCAGAGCAGTTTTCCGCATTGATGAGTTTGTAATAGACAACAACTACCCGTTTACTTTCAGACGAGGACCTATTTTATGTCGCGCATTAAGGTCACAGCGACTGAATAGCGTGAACGTTACACGCTATCTTAAAGACCTTCTCTGTACAGTTTGGCCGAAAGAACGTTAACCAGTTTCCGCAATTTTTATTATAAACAGTTGCTCTCCCAGGATTAGCGGAGTTCAAGCCGAATATTCCTGGGAATATTTCGATGTCCATTGACGATGGAGATTGTATTTTTTTGTAAAAGTTTTTCACCAAGAATTCTCTAAGTAATAGAGGATTGCATGTGGATAACTTAATTTCAAAGTGTATACATGAAGAACCTATCAGGCACACTGCGTGTTTCGCAAGAAATGACCTTTAAGTGGAGAAGTTGAACTCCTCCTTGAATGTGCTACCTGCTCTATATAAACATCAGAGTGGATACGAGGATTGCGCATAAAGCTATATTATGGTGTCTTTAAGGCCCCGATTATATGAAGAAAACCTGTCTTGGGTAGAAGGTTCACCCTCCCTATCGAGTCAATTTAAGTCGCGCATGCTCTGATTGTAACGCCTTGACCGTGTTGACCCGGCTGTGCGAGGCATAGCGTTTATGTGGAGAAACGTTAACCCTGCTGGGAGGGTGACCCTAGTCGAGCGAGCATTTTTGTTTCTCATGTAAACGGCCGCCGCGTCTTTTACTACGCGTTTCAAAAACACACAAATTCTGAAGTTCAAAAGCCAACTGACGTTTGCGTTCTACGCTGCCGTCAATCATCTTAGCGGACCTCTTAGGAAACGGAAGTTTACTTCAACGAGTTCAAAAGGTCATGGTTTGTGATTTGTGATTGGTGGAATTCGATCCGTTTTGTGTGTTCCAGTGTTTCAAGGTTTGTTGCGTGTGATCGTAATTATGATTGAAGGCAGTGTAAAACGCAATTGTGAAGGCGGCATTTCAACTTTAGAGTTCGCGTGTTTTTGAAAAGCGCAGTAAGGAAATGCATGAAAAGTTGGCTCTCCCAGCAGGGTATCTCGGGTAGGCGAGTGACCCTTCCATCCGTCAACGTTTCTCCATAAAAACGGGGCCTCACTAAAAATCCAGCCATTCAGTTGGTCAACTTCGAAATGGCTTGATTTCTTGTCGTTTAACCCTAAATTCTAGTCATCAGACAGGGGCGTAGACAGCTTTTCGACTGGTTGCAGGCCTTGCTGTCTTTCATTTCCACACATCTGAAAATTGCACGCATAACTAGTGCGCACTGATCTCACCAACACTTTCAGCTCTTAAACTTTTCAGCTCACTTCAACAACGCATAATTTATTACAAGCGGTAGAGTTATCAAGCCAAACATTTGCAGGTCCGGGTCTATAGGTCTATGTGCTGGCTACGCCCCTATCAGATACGTTCTCTGTACCGCGTAGTTAACGACAGTTAACAGAGTAACGAAACATAGATATCTACCTATTAAGTTCTTGTAAGAAATGGCCAAAGAGTTTATTAACTAAGGACTTTGTACTTGCATTTTTCAAGTACCATGAATATGCACCATANAAATTCTGAAGTTCAAAAGCCAACTGACGTTTGCGTTCTACGCTGCCGTCAATCATCTTAGCGGACCTCTTAGGAAACGGAAGTTTACTTCAACGAGTTCAAAAGGTCATGGTTTGTGATTTGTGATTGGTGGAATTCGATTCGTTTTGTGTGTTCCAGTGTTTCAAGGTTTGTTGCGTGTGATCGTAATTATGATTGAAGGCAGTGTAAAACGCAATTGTGAAGGCGGCATTTCAACTTTAGAGTTCGCGTGTTTTTGAAAAGCGCAGTAAGGAAATGCATGAAAAGTTGGCTCTCCCAGCAGGGTATCTCGGGTAGGCGAGTGACCCTTCCATCCGTCAACGTTTCTCCATAAAAACGGGGCCTCACTAAAAATCCAGCCATTCAATTGGTCAACTTCGAAATGGCTTGATTTCTTGTCGTTTAACCCTAAATTCTAGTCATCAGACAGGGGCGTAGACAGCTTTTCGACTGGTTGCAGGCCTTGCTGTCTTTCATTTCCACACATCTGAAAATTGCACGCATAACTAGTGCGCACTGATCTCACCAACACTTTCAGCTCTTAAACTTTTCAGCTCACTTCAACAACGCATAATTTATTACAAGCGGTAGAGTTATCAAGCCAAACATTTGCAGGTCCGGGTCTATAGGTCTATGTGCTGGCTACGCCCCTATCAGATACGTTCTCTGTACCGCGTAGTTAACGACAGTTAACAGAGTAACGAAACATAGATATCTACCTATTAAGTTCTTGTAAGAAATGGCCAAAGAGTTTATTAACTAAGGACTTTGTACTTGCATTTTTCAAGTACCATGAATATGCACCATATTTAATAGGCGAGGCTTGATGC